TGAAACTATGAACTCATGCCACTCTCCCACTCCCAGGTTGGTGGCACCATTAATGGGTACACTCCACTGCGTATTGTTGAGGCCTACAACACTATCACCAACAGATGGCGCGTCCTGCCATCTATGCGTCACCCTCGCAGCCACTTTGGAATTGAGGTTGTGAATGACCAGCTCTTTGTGGTCGGAGGATATGATGGTTTTCACCCTACGTGTTCTGTGGAGCGCTACGATGGGGAGGCTGGTTGGTGGTACAGGACCTCGGACATTGCGGAGTCCCGCAGTGGCCTGAGCTGCTGCGTGCTACATGGATTCTACAGCTTGGCGGAGAATTTGTTCCCTCGTGGTCCCCTAATGCTGCCCAATGTGGATGACGAAGGTGGAACCTTCTGACTTCAGCTTGCCTGTTATCATAGTAGCATTTTAATTAATTAATAATAAAAAATATTTTACATTATTATTACTTTATCTCTATATTTTTATGTTTTATGTGTATTGTATTATAGTACGATTTTGGTCAGATTTATATATCATGGATAAGTATACATACATACATACAGTATATATAAAGAGAAAGTGGGATAGTGAGGGAGCTGAAGAAATTAGGCAGGACTACTGGGAGGCTGGTTATACAGCAAAAAGAGACATAGCAAATGCACCTCTACCTCTAAAGCAGGGGTCTCAAACTTAAATGAGCTGTGGGCCAATGCTGGCCCCGTCATCTCATTGGAGGGCAACTTTAGTACAAAAGAAACAAACAAGAAAATACCCACAAATATTTCCAAAAATGTAGTGTTTTGTTTGTTTGTTTTATATTTCAAATATTGTATAACAAGACAAAAATACAAACATGAGCAAAATGTTTTTTTCCTCGCTCTTAACTAACTGAAGCCTTTCATTGAACTACCAAATAAACAAATTGCTACTATCTTTCCTCTTTGCTATAATTTTGTTAGTATATAACAAAATAAAAATCCAGACATGAGTGTACGAATTAGTTTTTGGCTGCTAGTTAAAATTGTTTAACTCTCTCACTGAACTAACACAGCCAATCCCTCAACACGTTTGTACTCTCTGCTCATATTGCCTTTATATTAAATAATTATTTGCTTTCTAAATAACTTATTTTAACATGCCACTCAACACTAAAACAAATCCTCCCTAACAAAAGAGTTACTTCAAGGGCCAAACTGCAGTATATTTCTTCACATCAATATATGGGCCGCAAATAGGGGTGACATGGGCCGCAAGTGGTGACACCCCTGCTCTAAAGGTTTATAGTAAGTGGAATCTGAGGCTGAACACTGAGGAAGGAGAAATAACTTGTATTGATTGGCTAGGCAGTGAAATCAAGCTGGAAAGGATTAATCAAGAATAGAATGGAAATGTACTAACGTGAAGAGAGTGTGTTGAGAAGATGGAAGGCGTACTCTGAGGACCTGACAAATGAAGAAAATGAGAGGGAGGAGAGGACGCGTTGGATGAAAGTTAGTGGATCGGGAAGTGCAGAGGATTAGTGAGGAGGTGAGGAGCTATGAAGAGAATGAAGAGTGGAAAGATTGGTCCAGATGACTGCTGAGGTAGCGTGATGTCTAGCTCTGAGGCCACTGATGTTTGCAATGGTGATCACAGTGGTCAACAGAAGATGTAGGTAGGAGTCTCCCTGGACTATGAGGTTTGCAGATGTCATTCTGAGAGCATGGAGAGGTTGGAAGAAAGCCTGGAGCAGTGGAGGTGTAAAAATTAAAGTCAGCAGAAACAAGACAGACTACACGAGTATGAATGAGAGGGAGAAAGGTTTAACAGTGAGACTACAAGGACCAGAAGTAGCGAAGTTGGATAAGTCTAAATATCTGGGGTCAACTGTCCAAAGTACGGAGACTGCACAA